AAAAATGTTTGCGAGAGCCCAGAAGCGCGAAATAATTGTGTTTTTGAGTTGAGATGCGCGTAATTTGTTTGGCATTAGGTTATTAAAAGGCAGAAAATAGAACAACAAAAATTTATCAAAAATATTTTTCATCTACAAGGGTGGTTTGAAAATTCCGTGCAAAAATTAAAACTGCAAATTTTTTTTTTAATTTTTTTTCTGAGAAACAACACTTTTGAAGTCATCGTGCTTTTTATATCAGTGTTCCAGCGAAGCAGATTCGTTTATTGCAGAACTAAAAAAAATTCCCAAATCACTTGAGCAACGCTTGGTTTAATAAAGTGTAGTAAGTTTTAGGAAGCTGCAGAAACATTTTTTTTTTAATCAATTCAAAAGCGTTAAGTGTTGTTTATTTATATGGCAATTATGAGCGTATGAATATTATTAATTATAAATAAAATTAATCAAATCCGTTTAGAGCTCCTCAAAAGGCATCTTGCATATTTTTTACTTTAGTCACGGCCACTAAATGCCACCAGCCCATCGACAATGCAGACTTTCATATGAATAACTTAACTTTTACAAAGGATATTTTTTTAAATGGCTGTTATAATTTTTTTCGCATTTTTCTTAGTCATTGTAGTTTCTCGCCGCAGCTGCCAAAAATAGAGACATATGAAGATGACTCTTAAATTTGCATAGGTTAATCATCATAACAAAAACAGCAACCAAACAGGTAGATTGCCGGCATAAAAGAAGAGTTAATGACATTGGCTCACCTTGGTTTTGAATAGTTGGCCACTAATTACTGTATAAACGACGATTTGCGCATTATGTAGGTGCAAAAATCTTCAAGCCGGTAAATGTTGAATAACGGAAGCATACTAGTGAAAATCATCGAAGAACCACCGGTTGGAAGGCCAATTTTACAGCAAAGAGTTTTCTTGAATATTCTGAGAATCTTTATGAAACATATACCGAAATTTTGGTTTTGCTTCAATATGCATTTGGGTTACAAATATAAAAAATTAAAAAACGCAAACTTTTTTATATATTTTAGTTGATTTAGTTTAATTTTAATTAAGGGCTTTTTGGGATACCTTAGGAATTACAGTCACAGACAGAAAAACGCGAATTAATTATTATGCACTAATTTTATTTTGGTTAAATGGCAAAAGATTGGAAGCGAACAAAGATAGAGCTTTTCTTTCGTTTTATTCCCTTTTCCACATTTTATTTGATGGGATTAAAAAAAACGATCGAATTTGAACAGATTTTTGCTCAAATTGTATGCGGTTCTCGATTCGGCCTGCACACTTTAAAGTGTTGAAGTTGAGCTGTTTATTCGCCCTTCCATTGGGTTGCAAAGATATTTTATTACAACGTGTCGCTTGGTATCTTCAAACGTTTTCAGGCGAACGCTTATGGGGAAATAGAAGTCAGAATAAACCGTTCAAGTTCAACAGTGTCAAAGAGGAAAAAACTTTTTAGTCACTTAAACAAATGTACATAAAATGGGGCTGAAAATAATCAGTTTTTGGTGATTGTGCCATCACTTGATCGGAAATATGTTTAATGTGGATCAATTCCAGTAGTTTAAAGCTTCCATTCTTAAAACCCAGTAATTTAAGGAAAACGTGCAATGCTTATTATGCGAAGAAAGTATAAAAACTATAAGAAGCAATCGGTTTTACATGTAGGTACTTTATGATTGGTTTTCCTCAAGTTTCAATGATGCGTTTTTGGAAATTTATATATGAAAGTACAAAATTCTGTTTCAGACGAGCATTTTGCAATATTTAGGCTTTATTGTCCGTTTCTGGTCTAACTTATCAAAATTTTATCAAAAAGATTGCCGCGTTATTTTGAATTAATCCTGAAACAAATTTTGGAAACGCTTGGCAATTTCTTACAGAATAAACTACCGTAAAAAACTAGTAAACATTTCATTGGCCAGAAATCTGGTCAACATTTCGAAAATAACTTGCGAACTTAATTCCGATTAAAAACAGACAAAACATAAATCCAATTAAGAAATCATTTACATATGCGACGAACTTTTGACCCAAATGTTTCATTCTTAACGATTTCCTCCAACCAAACTTGCCTCGATGTTTCGTGTATTCAGTTCAAAATTGAAGATTATCTTCAACGGATCCTGCAAAACAGTATTTAGAGTGTTAGTGGTACAACGGCCAGTTCAGTCAAATGCAATGAAGAGTGTACAAGAATATTTCCATATAACGGTGTCGCATCTTTTGCTTTTCACTACGGTGCTTCAGATTTGTAATGCAGGTCAGTAAGTTATGAAAAATATAAATTTACTTTAAATAAACCGCGAGAAATTCTTAGAAAAAATGTTTTCTACTGTTTGTTGGTTGTTGTGAAACAGTTTGCGTCCTAAATGCTCAAATATTTTGGAAGCAAAATTTGGTTTCTTCTCAGTCAGTAACTGCAATTTTTGTTTCAGTTCTGGAAACATGCGACCAATCCGGTATTCTCCTCTACGAAGACATGGGATGCAAACCATCATATGATAGGGCTGCTTCAAATAGTCGCAATTCCTGCCCCTCAAAGTATGACTGCTTAGGCTTGAAAAAATCCTCAGATCATTGTTTCCTCCGAGGCAAAGCCTACATGCTTAAGCAAAGAGTGGATTCAAAACTAACTGCTGGATTGTGCGATTTAGGCTGTTCGTGCCAAAGAGAGGAAGATAAGTACGTAATTTCCTCATTTAGTCCATTTTAAATAAAAGTGCAGTTTCAAGGCGGCAATTATTCTTCATATAAATGTTGGTTTGCGTCAACGGCTATATCGGTCATCAGATAATAAAAGATTTATTTTAGCCGGCCAAACTGAACAGGTCCGAAAAGTTAATGCGTGTCAAAAGTATAAAAACCGTACACATAAAACTTTCCGCCACCTTTTATCTCTAAGTTAACACACCCTTAAATTGTGATAAATATACCTCAACTTCTTCGCAACTGATTTATTTGATCTGCGATTCTGTCTTGGACAGCTGGCGGTTGGAAAAAGTTTCCGGGTTTTATAAGAAATCTTTGGTGAAGCGATTGGGCTGCAACGAAGTTTTAAAGTTGGAAAAAGTTGTGAAAAAAACAAAAGTCCTTCATCTTTTGCTTGGTTGGATTATTTCCTCATGCAATGAGATCATTACTGTTGCTTGCGCATCGTCATTGCAACATTCTTCAAAAGTAATTGTTAAAATAGGTACTCAGATCCCACTGGACTTTAACAAATGTGAATTTATAATTCAAGAATTCAATTTATTCGATGATTTTTGCTTTGTTGAAACATCCTTAAATGGATTTATGATGTCATGTTCTTTCTAGAACCAAATTTAAATGCGCCACTGTAAATTGCCCTGAATGGTCAGTTTTAGAGCCTCCAACTGGTTGCTACAGAAAATACTCTTTGGATGATTGTTGCTACATACGAGAAATGTGCCGTAAGTATAATTGAAAATGCTGTTAATTTTTTGCAGTCGAAAAAGGTTCAAACGAAAAGTTGATGAATTCATTTAAAAAATGTTGGCTTATTTTAAGCGTGGTTTCAGCAGGTACGATCTTTAAGCGACAATTTTAAACTTATTAAACAAATGTCTTTTAGAAAACTGAATTAAAGAAGCATTAATTGAATCGATTTCAATCCAACTAATAAAATACACATGTAAAAAAAATACGTCTGAGAGCCGAACGAAGCTCGAAAAAATTTCAGGAACTAGAATTGTATTTTGTGCAGTTTACTAATTGAATATTAATTATTCGGTTCAAATTGATAATTTGAACTTACCTAATTAATTAATTAATTTAGCTCCCTATGAAAATTCGACCACTTGTGTCTACGATGGAAAAGTGTACAAAGAAGGCGAAAATTTCCTGCCGAAAAATTCCTGCTGGAGATGCGTATGCCAAGCCGGGTTTCGAGGTATAAATTACTACCTGCTTATGCAATTTAATTAAAACTAACGGTCCTGTATAATTCGCTTTCAGGCAAATTAGAAAAACCCTTCTGCCGAAGACGATCCTGTGGAGTTCAGGTGAAACATCAGGAAAAACTGCAAGAGAGATGCGCTCCTTTGTATTACAAAAGGATCTATCGGGAAAGCGACCCACTTTGCTGTCCAGTCAATTGGATTTGTAGTAAATTTGTTATTTTTTATAATTTTTTATGGCTTGATGGCCTGTGAATTTTGAAAATCATCAGTTATTGGAATATTCCAGCAGATAATAATTAACATTCCTACACTGTAATAACATAGTTCTTTATGCGATTTAATTTTTTTTAGGCGAAGGAAATGAGAAAATAAGTGGCCAAGCACAGTCCACAGGTGAGTCGATCTTTTTTAATTGTATGCTACATTTTTTAGATATTTTATTAGCTTCTGGCAATTATGTGTGTTGCATCATACATCTGCAAGAAACCGGATTGCATTGTTTAAAAATTCAAAACATAAATAAATAGTCTGTAATCACGTACATCACGACATCAATGTTTTTGTTGTTTGAGYAGATTTAATTGCATATTTTCTGAGGTTTCATGTGGAATAGCTGGATTGAAAMTTGAAGCTTGTAACTTATTTTCCGCAATTTTTTAGCACAAAAACATCGAYGAATTAGTTAATTTGTGTGATTGATATTCGTATATGGATCCATAAAAGAATGCCTTTATTTTACAGATAAAATGTGCCTATTCGGACAAAGACTGATACGGGTTGGGCAAAAATTCGAAAAAACCGTGCAAATGCCCAGGAACATGACTGTTACGTGCGAATGCAAAATTCCACCGTTATTAACCTGCACAACTTATGTGGTTTAATTGCTACTGGGTATCTGTGATGCATTTTACGCAGGTAAGTAAACCCCATATATGATAACAAAATAACCCTTAAACAGTGCTTAAACAGACGAAAACTCGTTTTTCTGATGAAATAAAGATGTGTTTTTTCCTTCATATAAACCAGATGCTAATTCGCATGGGTGGGCATCTATAAATGCGAATAGTCAAATTAATAAAATATACTTTATTCTTCCAATATACAAATTATTCAACAATATGTAGAATGTACAGGACGTTTTGTACACAGTTGCAAAACCTCATTATGTACAACAGCTTTACTTCACTAAATTGGTTTAATAAATATTCTACAGCTACGGTTAATTTACAGAAACGAGGCACTGAGTGATGAGATTTTTTAGATACTATTGTAAAGTACGGTTTATCTCTCTCAATATTTTATTTTTTAGCAAAAACTCTCTGATACTATCTACCTTGCTTCAAAAAAAAAATTCTGACTTAAAACCATTAAAATTGCCTTGGTGTTCGAACAAAACGTTGAAAAACACAAAGTTTTCGCACATTTGAAGCTTTTGTGCATTTATTAGGTGGAATGAATTGAATAGTCTAAGTTGACCAGAAGACCATTTAGAAGCACTTGGAATTATTCCATTCTCAAATTCTTAATTTTACATCATTCAACACAACAAAATGCAATCAATTTTTAGGTTTGTCCTTTTCGGAAAAGTTTGGGAGCAAAATACTAAAACCCGCAAAACACACGGTGTGACAAAAAGATAGGGAGTCAGTTAAACAGTGAATTCCTTAGAAGAAAATAGTATTTTTTTTACATAACGTTATAATATAATAATATTTTTTCTTATATATGGTTTTGCACGACGAAATCTCTTTTGAAAGTTCTCGGATGTTAAAAAATGAATTTTTTATCCACCAATCATGATCACCAAGATAATGCGTTATTAACAATAAGGAAGATGCTCAAAATATTGGCTTTCGGATCCAATTCATTTTTCAATGAGTGTCTTCATAGATTTCCTATTAGTTACTTAGATGTTTTTGGCACTCTGCTTGTTGAAAAAATCATGTTTTTTGCTAAGGAACCTTGCATTTTTAAAATACAAAATCATAGTATAAGTGCAATATTCGGAGATAAAAACGAAACGTACAGAATTTTAAAAATCAGATAGTCATAATCCTCCCTGATTTTTGCTGCGCTTCTAATAGTTTTAGGTCACTGAGGTTTAGCTGAATTTTACTACAGAAATTACGCACTTTTACTTATTTTAAAGAGAATCTCGATGGTGAAAAGGAAACCAGGTTAACATTTTTCTATAGAACCACCTAAGTTTAATTAAACTGATTTCGCTCCGATACTTGGGGATTTTTCAACCATAAAAGAGATAACACGGCAAACAGCATCAATAAAAAAAATTATACCTGACAAGTTATATTACATTTTGTACTAACTTCACACCAAACTACTAGCTCCCAGACACTCTCCCTCAATCTGTCCGCATAAACTCGGAGAGTTTCCTTTCGAACTTCCATAAACTTTCGTCGAATAACCCGAATCGTTGTTGGTGTCTCGATCCACCGTATCATGGGGGTTCTCCAGAACCCGTCCGCCAAAATTTGGATCCAGCATTCTGGAAGAACCCTCAATGGGGTTTTTTGAGTCTGGATATCCCTTCGAATTATCCAAAACTCGCAATTTTGCCAATCGGGCGTTGATCGTGTGATCGTAGTACTTGGTGGGGTTCGGCAGCTCGTCTTCGTAGAAATGCGCTTGATATGTGGGGTCATTGTAGCGCATTTCCGGCTGGTAAGGGTTCATGGGGTCGTATCTACTGGTGCTGGGTTGTGGATACTGTTTGTACTGGTCGTTGTATCTGCAAATATAAATTATTTATGTTTTATGTAAAAAATCGACTTGGAAGTTGTTTCCTTAAGAGTAGCGAATTTTTAGGATCTAAAGCCGCTTAGGTACACTTACCTCATTGTTACAGGTTCCTGAATTTTCACGATCGGTTCAATATATCTGGTAGAAGTTTCCACCAGGGACGGATCGCCTGTTGGACTGTAAACTCCACTTCGACTTCTAGGCGGGGCATCATTAGGCACATTTTCGTAGTGTCCTAAATGTATTGGTCCTGGCGACTGTCCCAATTGCACCTAAATCCCAACAACAGCGTTAGAAATTAAAAAAACCATCACCCTTGTGATGTTGATAATGTTCAAACTAGGCTAATGCAATTTTATGTGATAAGAAGTGTTGTTTGGCTCATTTACAATATTAACGTGAGTAAGTCACACTTAGAATGCGTAAGTTTTGTAACGTTTTTATTTATTTTACTTAAGAAAATGTTTACTATTAAAATCTATTATGTGTACTCCAGATGCTTTTATTCCAGGTTCGGATAATGTTGATTGGACAACGAATACTATTTTTCAGCCACCAAATTTCTCTTTCGTGTCAAAAAAATAGTCCAATCTCTTTCATATTTACATGATGGTTGGTCACAAAAAAAGTTACTCACTGGAACCAAATTTCCATCACCCATTGGTCCTTTCCTGGATGGCATTCGAAGAGGTCCATCTTCATCGTCGCTGCTCTCGCTTTGAGCCCCATCGTTATGACTTGAGTTCTGGTGCTGTTGCTGAATTCTAGCCACAAGCTCTTTTACGGAGGGGCCTTTCGGGTCGCATTCGTGTGGATCTAGTTCATCCATACTTCTGAAAAAAATCCAAAGTTTAGTAGACTTTTTACACAGACTTTTTGTCAAACTAAATACATTTCTTTAACCCCGGAAGAGTAAATCTCAATTTTTTGTCTTATCAAGTTTGATGGAAGGAATCAGGCAAATAATCGGGTGACACCATAAAACCGCATTCGGAACCGTTTCTAGATCACTAAATCGTGCTAATTAATTTTTTCCCTTATTTCAATCATTAATGCAGTTTCGCCGACTCAAAGCAATTACCATTAAATCCGCCGTAAAATCTCGCATAAAAATAGAATTGACAAGAATGTTCCATTACAATACTTCATAAATTTGCTCATTTTCAGGCAGTTCTAAGGATTTCCGAGTTGAAACAAATAGAAGTGTTGCTTTAAATTAACCTGATTGCTGAAGTAGCTGTACCGGTTTAGTGAGTAACGATTGTTAAATAGCGTTACCAAAGGCGCGTAATTGCCTATAAGGTAGTTCATTGTTCATACGCAACATTAACTAAATAAAGTTTGTTTTCGTTCTTGCTTTCTTGTTTGCATGGGTGAATTTTACTCGACAAGGACCAGCTTTCGTGGTTGGCTGAGTTCAATGTTAGTGTTCATGTTTTTGGACATTCTTTAATTGTTTCCTTTTTTTAGGTTTATGAACATACAGTATGAAGAATTTTCCATTGCTATGCGGCCGCTTTTCTCTCTTTTGAAGGTATTTCACATACAGTCACTAATTTATTGAACAATCTGCTGAAGGCAAAGTGCTTTTAATAAAGTTAACAAAACACATTTATCATCTGCTTTTACAACCAAAGCCCCCAATCTGCCGCCATTAAAATTCAGTACACATTTGAGGCACAAATGCCGGAATTTAATCAAAATGAATAATGAAATGTGTTGATTTTTTAAATCACCAGCTCCCGAAATCCTTAGAAATTTTCTGTAAATTCTTTGCAATCAAAAAAATGTACGAAAAAAAATATCGAACAAACTTAACGTTAGATGTTGAATGATGAAAGCCAAACATGAAACCATTTTTATAGCGGATGGTTTCAGTCCTATTTATACCCAGTAAGTGGCAACCGATTTAATGAAAATACTTTTTGCAGTTTTGTGATTCAAATGGGCTTTTAATGAGCAGAGTTTGTGTTTGCGCCGAACAAAAGACATTGATAACATCAAAATAAATTTGCAGTGTTTGCTCTAGTTAATCTAGTTCAATTTATTTACTGTCTGTTCCATTGTAAAAATCCAAATAATTACTGTGCCTATTATGGAAATGTACGTTTTACGCTTTCACGCGATTTGCAACGTGTCAGTGATTTTTGTTGTTGCCCAACTGTAATCGGAAATAAACGGAAATATCAAGTCCTTATAAAAAAGTAACCAGATTATTAAAATTAATTTAGTGGCAATTTTATCCGTTGATTCTACGATGTTTTTCACTCCGATTTCTTACAGTTATACTAAAAAGAGCTACACTAAGAAATTTTGGTTTGAGCTCAAGCTGTGATTTTTTAAGCAGACAACTTTACAACATTCTAATGAATCCTTTATATTGTATGTATTAATGCCTTTCATTGCCTTCACTCTGGCACCATTAACCCAAAACCTGTTCCGCAATGGCAAAAAGTGTCATAGAAATAATTGTATAACTAGATTTTCCCTGTTTACAATGTGCTAATAAATCAATAAATCTATGTCACACTCAGCCTACAGTGTAGACGGAGCAAACTGAATTCTTTCACCCGATAAATTGTCCTAACAAGAAACTATCTCTTTCATAACGAGTTAAGCTACCGGTATTTATCTATTATTATGTACAATTATTCAGAAATCATTATTGTTGGTTTGATCGTAAATCATCAGCTGACTTCTACACTAGCAGATAATCGATTCTGGAACGCAGGTGACTAGTGCCAGTTGACTGTATAATATTTATACATTGGTTGTTTTATAACGTAAAGTATTTCTTATTTGGTATTACATTTACTATCTTTCAAGGCCTGTGTATTTTTTTAAATCATACTCCCGTTCCCCGTTAAAATTCGCGTATAAATCGAAAGCAATTGAAAAGTGAGAACATACCTTGTTCCTTGTAAATGTGACTTTCCTCCTGTATCCAGCATTTCCAAGCTTCTGGAACGGGACATTTGAGGTTCAGGTTCCTTGTGAGCGTTAAGAACTCGTTCAGATCGACGGCCGTGTCCACCTCTATTCAGTTTTTGTTCCAAGCCAGCCACTCTTTGTCCCAATCGAACCTAAACGGACAAAAAAACTTGGTAAGTTATCGAGTTGAAATATTTGTATGAAACTTCCCACAGACGAATTGAATTAATTGAATTTTCTTGAGATACTCCCAAGAATAACATCGTTCAGCCTTTCGTTCAAACTCGTTATTCGAGCAGCTATTTAATTGAATATTGGAAGTATAAGTGCAAAAAATGGTTTACTTTTTTCTTTTGAAAGATTTAGATTTTAACCAGTTGGTGGAAAATCTGCTGATTTTTTCACGAATAATAGAAATAGAAGACAAGGTATTTCAGAAACCCGAACAAGGTCATGTTTATATTATTTTTTATAAAACATCCTGTATATTATTACAGTTCGGATTCTGCGACAGATTCTGATCAGGTTCCATATAGTCAACCTTGTTTACAAGCATTGTTTACGAGTTCCTAACATTTAAAAATCGACTTCTTATTCGAATTCCGCAAATTAATCTTAAAAGTAATTGAAAAAAAAAATTTAACCAAACTAACATTTTTAATTCGAAAAATCTAATTAAAAACAAATTGAGTTTTTACAAGTTCTTCGTTCATGTTTCTCTATTTCAGCTAAAATGATTGATTAAAATTTCCATTTCTGTCATTACTGTTTCCTTAATCCTTTTACCATCGGTTGCTTTTCATGATTGAATTTAACTTTAAAAACCACAAAAAGAAGGAACATTATCTAAAATAATAAGTAAAGTCGACAGTCGATGTTTAACTGTTTCTATCTCTGAAAAAGAGACTTTTCGCACAATACGAATCTCTAATTATATACAGGGTCTTCCATAAAAAATATATAAGTTTGATCTGGAGCGCCTCTTCTGAAAAATCCTGCATTCCTCATATTTTTGTTGGTCATAAAAAACTCGTGCAAAAAAGTCTACAATTTCTTGCAAAACCGGCTCTCCATTCTTCAAAATTAACAAAGTTAAAAGGGCGTTCCTCTTATTATTTATAACATTTATCAAGTAATTTCTGGGAAGTTAAATGATTCCGTTTTTTATTCACTTTTCAATACTTCTTGCATTTATTCAGAAACCTGCAAAGTTACGCATTGGCAAAATCTTGCTTCAAACTTTCATCATTTACTATTTTCATTAGCTTCGCGTCATCGTTCCAAATCACAAAATCGAACAATGAAACTGAAAAAATCCTGCAAACTCTCACCTGAGCTCGGACCAGCTCCTTCTTGTCCTTCGCCAGCTTGGCTTCCAAATGCCTAAACAGAGGGGCACAATAGCAGGTGTATCCAACTCCAACTGGCCCCTTACAGATATTTCCTGCCAAATCTAGATAGTATTGCTCCCCTTTTTTCAGGGGCTCAGGCGGCAAAGAGTCCAGGTTAGGAGATGGAAAAGCTTCCGGATCAGGATAGTAGTGGCAACCATACGGAGACCAGTTTTTGTTATTCGTGCTGGTAGGCGCCGGTTTGCTTGGAGGAGCTTCAGTCACCGATATATCGACCACATCTGAAACTGAAGCAAATCTTTATAATTTTCAATAGGCAAAGACGGCTCGAAACGAACCAATTAAATGGCCACGTATCTGCAACTGATGCCAATAAACCTACACTTTGCAATTAACCGATTAAATAGAGTAGCTGAACATAAAACTTATCTGCGCCTTAAATGTAGCATTCGCGACATCGTTTTCCTTATGCTGTCTGTCAAAAACCGTTGAGCAATCTTACTTAAGATAAGTAGAAGATGGTATTCAAAGAGCCACTTCTCGCTTGCCGAAGAACAAATAAAGATATAACTTTAGGTTGAGCGGTAATGGGCTTGGAGAGCCGTTTGAAGGAATTCACGAAACGACTTGCAGGAAAGGAAAACCTCTGGCCATTAATGAAATAATTATTTTTTCGCTCACTTAGGTATTAGCGGTTAATTAAGAACATTATACGGATATGCGCTCAGAGATGAATGGTTCTCTTAAGGTAGGTTCAAGAAGCTTTAATTGGAGACATTAATCACCACTATAGTTTGAAATTATTGAGATAAACAAAAACTTTGCAATTGGGTTTTTTTCTGCAATGTTTTTTAATTTTCTTCTCCTGAAAACTTGATCCAATTACCCAAGTAATCTTAGCCAAAATCATTACCATTAAGCGAAGACATTTCATGTAAGGTGATCAGAATTTACAGGAAATTACAGTTATAATTTCAATTAAAATCATATATAGAATTAATGGAATTCTCCTTAGCCACCACCAATGGAAAAACGTTCCGATATCATCGGCTCGATTTCGTGTCGTTTATGTATTTTAAGATTATTAATTACAGTTGGAACTTGTAAATCCTCGCAATATAAAACGGGTAATTTAATCTGAGCTGGGTTGTGTTAAATATACGAGGAACATTGCGAACATGTTTCCGCATGGTGTCCTTTAATTGGTTGTATTCACCATGCAAATGTTGCCGTGCAACTTGCGTTTGTATAGTTTGTTCACTGGCATACGCAAGACCTAAGTGAGGTAACATGAGAACGACAGATTGTATATGTACAGTTTAATATTAACAAATTCCTGCTTTTCTATTTGGATAGCGTGCAAAAGTGTATAAAATTGTATTCTTATAACATTCTAAAGGTTTTATTAACTATTAATCCCTAAATTTAGTCCCCGATGTTGCAAGAAATCAGAGGAGCGAGACTAAAAGATTACCACTTTGTAACATGTGTTTCCTTAATTTTGTGGAAAATGTTTTATATAGTATAAAACAGTGTTTAAGTGGAAATTTATTCTCGGACAAATTTGAACTTTTGACACCTTGTTATTTAAGAAATAAAAACTTTTATTTGCGGGCAAATTTAAAAAGCATTTAATTATCATAATGTCAAAAATTGCTATTCTAATAACGCGTAATAAATAAAAGACGGGCCGAAACACTGCGCAATCTTAAAACAATCTTAGAAATTAGATTTTTAATGGTTGAACATTAGGTTTAATCAAACTTGTTAATTTATTAATCATTAAAATGATAATTTTGTGACCTACAGGTGTCAGCACTGAAGCCTCAAGTATTTAATTGCAAAACTTAAAACCATATACAATAGTAAACGACATCCGTATGGTAATAAAGCAAGAATCTTCAAATTTAGTGCTGGTTTATTTGAAAAATCATGTTTTAGATATGCAAAAATGACAATTAAATTGTATTAATCTAATAAATCTGCACCTACCGAAACCGCAAATATCTAAATTGTTTCTGGTACGACAAAAAAATGGAATCTGATGAATCTGACTCCCAAGGAATACTTATTTAATAAATTGTCCAAATTGCAAAATCCGTTAGTGGTTGATGATGTTCTCAATAAAAGTGTTAAACTATTTTGTTTCGAGAACCATTAATTTATTCTCAAAGTTTGATTTGTTACATTTTATCACGCTTTCTTCAAACACTCCTCTTACCGTCTCCCAAAAGCAAAAATAGGTTCGGGTTCAAAAGAAATATTTAACATTCATTAATCATCAAGGCACTGTAATTTCTTAACTAAAACCATCGTCTCTCCCTTACTTACATCGTCAAAGATAGGCATTATTGCGTCCTGAAAGTGTTTGTACCTAAGATCCCAATCGTTTCATTGTTCCATTCATTTCTTAATGACTAGTTCGGTTTAATCGCAAATATAAATCCCCAGTCATTTCAAAAGCAAACCCAAATATTTCAATTGAGAATGAGAATAATAAGCTCAGTCGAAAAGATTAATTCCCTGGGTAATCTTGCATTTGAACGTGAATCGTCGGTGGTTGAATGTTTTCACGGTACTCATGCTGCGTTCAACCCGTCTTTCAGTTCCTTTGGTACTCAGTGCGTTCTGATTATTATTTATTATTGAGCAGCTGAACCGTAAATTCGTTTGATATCCGATCTCAAACGCGGATAAGTTGTTTTGCTTTGACACTCGAACAAATTCGATTCAGATGAATTGTTTTGAATCCGACCCGTTCAAGGTGTTTTCTTAATGAGGGATGATCGGTCTTTTACACAACATCTGTTAATCACTGTTTAATTGATCATTTGCTTCGTATTGAATCGACGAGATGTTCGTTACGTTCTTATTGTTTAACTACACAAAATCATAATATGCAAAAACATTCATTATTCCAAATTTGGAATGATAGATTTTTTCTAAGGCATTGTGGATCATGCAACTTTGAACAAAAATAATGCAATAAAACACAAAAAACCTCAGACATAAACCCAAGCACCGTGTCACTGATCGCTAATATTTACGAAAAAGTTAAGAAAATATTTTCGAAACGTTCATGGGAATCTAAACTATTAAGGTCCCAGGAATAAACTCATAAGCAATTTTATGTTGGAGATTTTCTGTTTGGACAGCGATTATTCCATCGACATTTGATATATAAAATCCATTTTATTACCGTTTTAACTTTTCATTGACCATTAAACTGATTCATGGAGTTTCCCAAGCAACTGCACGATTTAGTGGAAAGCTTAGGACCGAATCACACATTACAAATCGTTAAGTGCTGATTTAATTTTAGGAATATCAAAATTACCGTCATAATTGTTATTGATTATTCTATTTAATTTTGGATCTAATTTCTATAAAGAACTGAACTGTTTCAATATCGATTTCTCAAAGCTTTTGGACATTCATAAAACGAAAACCTGCGCAAAAAATAATCGAACAACATTGTAGCCAACAGTTACATAAGTTCAAATATGCAAATTATCGCTATACAAATATTTCCTGCCTCGTTCAAAGTGTGTTTTGAAATAGCAAAGTGAAAACAAGGCAATTGTTTCCAATGGCCTGGCCGAAAAACTTGCAATAATTGTGATTAACTTCAAAAGCGGAGCAATTGAGGGGAACAGAAAATATTCGATTTCTCATCTTAAATCAAATTTGATGTTCCAGCCTGGCAAAAACAGCACTAATTTTATGTACCCTTTCCAGGAAACCCTTAAACGCGTCATGCATTACCCAAACTAATTATAATTCCATGAACTGCCATTTGAGGTAAACAGGCGAAATGTATGCTTAAACTTTTACCGCCTGATTTTCCCAACAACAAATAATTTGGCTTGCCTAAAAGTTATTATTTCTGCACAATTAATTGCTCGTAATATTATAAGTAATAAATTCGAGCCGGTATAAACTTGGGTGAAGCTTCGCGTAAGCATGTAATTAAACGGAAAAACGTGTTATTCAGATGCGTTATTGATGGAACAACATATATTAACAAAAGTAAATAGTCGAATAAATTGGAAGCAATTTTTGATAATACAATCAGATTATAAAAAATATATACAGATAATGCGAACATTAATAGAATTGTTTGGCCTTCGGCTCTATTTATTTTATTTCAAATGAGTTGTTTGGTTGACTATCCCAATAGTTTGCAGCAGAAAATTTATTATGGGAAATTTTCGGCTGGTTTTTGCTTTTCCTTTAGTTATAGGTGTTTACATCATTTTGCTTGGTTTAGAATCGCAACAAACGTACTTTATTAAATGCAGTGAAACTAATTGATTAAGACGCAAATGGTGAAATTGATAAATATTCCAAAGAAATCGAGAAAAATCACAATTTTTTAGTAGATGATTTTGAGCAACTTGTCTTCAACGCATAACTATTCACATTCACATGCCATATTCTTATCAGTTGAAACTCTCATTTTAAAAGTATTATGGATTAAGCAAAACTCCTACATTTCAAAAAGAAAAAAACATCGGGAAAATGATTATTAAACTGCCTTTGGAAATAGCTTCTGCGACAAATACGCCATTCAATCTGCATGAGGTGATTTAGTATTTTTATCAATATTTTATTTCCAGCTGAAGTATAGGTATAATAAAAAAATATTTTATTCGTTTTGGGCTCACACTTGCCATCATATTAGTGGCAATTAAAATACCTTATCGTTAAGACGATGTAATTCTAAGCAAATATATCCGACATTCCAACAGTTTAAAGCAACGTTTCAATTTACTGTTACCGAATACTCCCACGTAAATGATCTTCAATTTTCATATAAACGACCCGCGGAGGTACTTTAGATAATTCACCAAATATTAAATGGATTTTTCACCTCCATATTACAGTTCGCTTACATGTTCTATTATGCAAATGATCACCTCATGCGTGTATAGCGTTGGACCATTAGTAACAACACACTTGACATCAAAAGCTTACCTTTGACGCCTTTTCCTTCGAAACGAACTTTACTTTTCGACCGTCTCTTGCTCGTTTTCTCCTTCCTGCTTCTCCGACTTTCACGCGAATTGTTCTCATCGAGAATATCGACAATGTCGCCCAAATCTTTTCTGAGCGCAATGTCTCGTGCAGTTTCGGCCTGTTTGTTTCTGATCGACTTGTCGCAACCAGCTTCCAGTAGAATTCTTGTTAGTTTTCGTCTACCCATTGCGGCCGCTATATGAATGGCTGAGTCGCCGTTTTTGTTTCTTTCGGACACTTTGCACTGAAAGGAAAAACAGCAAATATTGTTCATCAAAAGAAATGCCAGTGTGGAGTTCAGTTAGCTTCTCAGTAAAGGAAGAGACAAAGAACGCTGAATATTTTTTTCTCAAGGGATTCGATTTTTTTTAATAACAAATCTTCACTGACTCCATATAGAGAAAATCAAAATACCTTTGCAGAAATCAATATCCTGGTAACTCCAGCATGCCCATATCGAGCAGCAGTGTGTAAAGCGGTATCTCCATATCCATTCCGCAGGTCAGGATCGGCCCCTGCCAGCAAAAGTTCCCGACAGGACTGGTTATGGCCATTTTGGCACGCCAAGTGCAGGGGCGCAAATCCTCCCGCATTAGTTGCAGTCAGAGGCGCTCCTGCGGAGCAAAGAAGTCGCACAGTACGACTGTGCCCCTTCCAAGAGCACTCGTGTAAGGCGGTGTTGGCATGCTGAAACAATTACAATTTACAGTCATTACAAGTTACAGTAGAGTCTCGGAAGTGATTCATTTAAAATTCAGCAGTTCTGCTCGACATGAAAATGAACAAGTTGACGTTTTGCTTTCTTTGCAGGAAAATTCATGTCCCCGTTTTTCGCAGATTGGGGCCAATTTACACATGCAGAATATTCATTTGTTGTTCATCGAATAGTTCCAACGCTGAAATATCATCCCTACAAGGTGCAAGAGTTATTTGAAGATGATTTCCAGGCGCGAAATGACATTGCAAAAACATGCAAAATATGTACATCTTAGATAATAATTTAGAAAAAACGTTATTTTTTACACACAAATAAATGTGGGGTGTGGAATAGTGCGCGGAAGAATAATAGGACCGTTTTTCTTTGAACAGTCTGTAACTGGACAAGTATATCTATAATTTTTCCAACCTGAATGAATTCCAGCATTGGTTTCTTTACTTCCAAATTCATTGGAGCCATCAGATTCTCTTGATGAGAAACATTTTTTGAGAAAACTGCCAATATTTTCTTATCCATGGTTCACTTTCTAAAAAGGCCATTTATTTCTCTCTAGAATGATGTACAAATGAGCGTTCTTGCTCATTTCGCCTCCGAGATATGAGCAAAAATGGGACGGAAAACATGGAAGTTTGACATAATCTTGCACCAAAGTGTCTGATATTCAAATTTCGCTTTCTGGGTCAATCTACTCGATTTTCCACACTCACGTTGTTACGACTGAATCGACTTTTCAATTCTCTATCCAACGATGCCAAAACGAATTCTGTGGCTCGAATGGTTCTTGAGAAACTTCGAAAAAAGCAGCGTCATGTTCAAGTGGATTTTGCAACTCAAAAAAAACCACGCAAATCTAAAACTTCTTCAAAACAAGCATTTTTTGAGAAAACTGCCAACATTTCCCCATTCATGGTTCACTTTTTAAAAAGGCCATTTATTTATCTCTAGAATGATGTACAAATTAGCGTTCTTGCTCATTTTGCTCCGAGATATGAGCAAAAACGGGACGGAAAACATGGAATTTTGACATAATCTTGCACCTAAGTGTGTGATATTCAAATTTCGCTTTCTGGGTCAAAACTACTCGAATTTCCTCACTCACGTTGTTACGACTGAATTGACTTTTCTATTTTCTATCAAACTATACCAAAACGAATTCTGTGACTCGAATGTTTCTTGATAAACTTCGAATA